AAAAAAAAAAAAAAAAAAAAAAAGGCAAAAAAGCAGCACAATTCTCAGCCCAGTCCACGACCACTGTTCAGGCATTAGGGAAATAAGTGCAGATATGTAGTTCCTTAGCAGATGCTCCTGCCCACACATGACCCCCTCTGGGGAGCTCTAGGATCTGGTAGATCCTGCTGCAGATCCCACAGGTGTCTTTGCACATGGTACTGACATTGGACTGCTGCCAGGGCATCTTCTATTATTATTATTATTATTATTATTATTATTATTATTTTTGTGGAACCGGGGATTGAACTCAGGCCCTTGTTCTTGCCAGGCAAGCACTCATTCTACTGAACTATCCCCCCGGCCAGGGCATCTTCTAGAGGGGTATCCTTACATATTGGACAGGAGATGCCCAGCTGGGCCATGGAAGAGCAGTCCTGCCATTTAGTGAGACCAGGGGACATAGATGTCAGGAGAGGGTCTTCCAGGACAGAAGAGGTTCTCTCTCCAAACAGTTGGCTGGGAATAATTATTTTATTATTTGCTCAAATAAATGATTCAATATTTATAAAGTGCTTAATTAAGGCAATATTTAGCAGATGGTTCGCTGCTATAAAAATAGCTCCTGTTAATAAATCTGGCTTGGTGAGATAGCTCAGTGGACTAAGCGCCTGCTTAGGCAAGTGCAGGGACAGGGGTTAGATCCCTGGCACCACAAGCCATGTTGGTCCTACCCCCGGGCTCACTGAGCTGGCCACCAAGACTGGGTGTGGTGGCACACACCTATAATCCCAGCACTGAAAACAGGAGGATCACTGAGTCTGAGCTGCATCGTGAGACCCTGTACCAAATACTTAAATTTTTTTCCCCTGAATTTCCTACAATAACAGACATGTTACTGACGTGACTAAAGTAATTTTTCCGGAGGTGTACCAAGAATTGAACTCAAGACCTCACACTTCTCAGGTAGGCGCTGTGCCACTGAGCTGAGTTCCAGGCTTCCAGAAAAGTAATTTGTAAAAGTCAAGGCTCCATTAAGTCAAGGAGACTTTACTTTTTCTTTTTTGAAAATTAACAGGCTTAATGGCTAAAGATTCAGAAAACTGAGCTTGAGAAAAGACCCGGACCTGCCTCGGAGCACCCGGGCTTGCACAGCCTCCGAGGCTCCCAGGGGAGGGCGCTCTGTGGGCGTGCGGGAACAGCCCTGCTCAGACTGCACTCAGAGGCCTACGTGACCTGGTTTCCAAGTGAAATCTTTATTCCCCAAGTTCCTTCCCAACAGTGCAGCCACTGCACGGAGAGCCTGCCGTGAGAGCTTCAGGTGGGTGTCCAGCACTCAGCTTCCAGAAGCTTCTCCACCAGGCAGCAGAAACCAGGACGCTGGCCTGCTCCTCTTTGGCCTCTTCACGAAGGAGACTGTGCAGCGGGCTGCCCTCAGCACTGCAGCGCTCCTCAGCCATGTTCTGAGTCTCCAGGGTGGCAGGATGGGCAGAGTCAGCCTAGAGGTCCAGCACATGGGGCACTGTGCCCAGATGCCCTGGGCTGGCACAGCCAGGGGCTCCAGGCTCAGGCGGAGGCCCAGGCCGCTCCATGTCCCCTGCCCCAGTCTGGCTGGGGGGCATCACACACAGAAAGGGCCATCATTAGCCTTCAAAGAGGGCTGTGATTTGTTCTAGAGTCTTTCCTTTGGTTTCGGGGACACAGAACCAAGTGAAGAGGACACTGCAGATGCAGAAGGCAGAGGCGAGCCAGAAGGTGCCATGGGGCCTGAGAGCCTCCTGCAGAGAGGGACAGAGAGTCTGCATGTGGCCATAGGGCAGGGGGTTCCCATGCCCCCCTCCATAGCACCCCCAACCTGCCCTGCCAGTGTCATGTCTATTGTGTCTCCACCAGGCTCATCAGAGGACAGGTCCCACCCCCATCCCCACTGGCTGCCTGGCCAAGCACCAGCCAAGGCATTCCTGTGTGTGGGGAGACCAAGGCTCATGTCAACAAAGTGACTGTCAAGTGACAACTGGCTCCTGCTCCTGGGACCCTGCCCCAGAGGCTTCTCTCATGGTGCCAAGGGGTGGGTGAGCTGCTGGATGTCCCTATGGGCAGAGGGCTCAGCCTCGGGAGCACCTGGCAATACTCTGGGCCCAGTGGCAGGCAAAGAGAGAGCAGTGGGCAGTCCTTGTGGTCAGAGAGGTGATCCTGCAGGTGCCAGACCAAGGGCCCTGCCCTCCCAGCTCCTCCTCTATGCACCTGAAGCACCTGCTGTGCCCTCCTGGATTTTCCTCCCACCGCAGCCCAGTGCCTGCCTGTGAAGGGACCCTGTCCACCCCAGCCCCTGCCAGCTGGACATACTGGGCGCCAGCAGCCCTGGTGGGAAGGCACCCTGTGCAGACTTGCACATCGGCCCTGGGACTGCCCCGCTGACCAGGAAGCAGCGGGACGGGCCCACACGGGGGCCATCCACCCCAGGAAGCAGAAATGACCAGCTGAGTCCATGTTGCTTAAGGTGCTGCTCCCGTCCTCTGCTTCCAGCCAAGGCTGGGGCAGAGTGGTTGTCACACAGCAAGATGGCGGCTGGGGCTCACTGGCTAGCAAGCAGGCTGTTGTGCCCCAGCGAGGAGACAGAAGAGCCCTGTAGGGTCACAGCCTAGGTTCCTCATCTGCCCTGGCCACTGGCCCCACTTCACCCTGTCAAGATGCTGGCATTTCAGGCCAATTGGGCCTCAGCAAGACCCATGCACGCGAGGCCATGAGTCTTTTGTAACAAGCGCTTCTCTGCTGACTGCCCGAGGGGGAGGCCATGGCCCCACTCACCATTAGGCTGCTGAACTCTTTCGTCACCAGAAAGGCCACGAACCAGTTGGTAAGGACACAGACGCCGGTCGCCACGCCCTTGACATGCAGAGGGAAGATCTCGGACATGAGCAGCCAGGGGATGGGCCCCCAGCCCAAGGCAAAGCCTGCAGAGCAAGACAATGTCAGGGGACCCGGCAATGCCCAGCGGGCCTGGGGTCCTGGACTCCTGGTCCCAGCAGCTTTCCTAGTGCTTTCCTGCTCGGAGGCACTGGAGGGCTGCTCACCTCCTAGGCACCAGGCTCTATCTCTGGGACAAGGACAGAAATGCGGTGGGGCTTGAGGAAAGAGACACAGAAAGGCTCGGTGCAGTGTCCTGCACAGGTCAGAACTATAAACCGAGAGCTGGGACCTTCAGGACAGAAGGGTGAGGCTAGGTAGAACCCACTGGTGCAGGGCTCAGGGACTGACAGGGACACTAGCCTTCACCCTGCCTCCTAGGGACTCCTCTCACCAGCGATGAACAGGCACATGCTGCCCACAGCTAGCCAGGCCAGTGCCATGCTGGTGTCCACAGGCTCCGCGGAGACGGGTGCCAAGAGGTCCACGTGGGAGGCGTTGCTGGAGCGGCCCTGGGTCAGCTTGAAGTAGGTGCCGAAGGCGCTAGTGCTGAACACCATGACCACCCCTGTGGGGAGTGTGGGGTGGGCACTGGAGTTTGGCCTGGGCACCTCGGAAAGAGGCAGTGCACTGTGGCCAGGGGATCCCAGACTGTGTGGCTTCCCCCACTCCGCCCTTGGCCTCAGCCACCTGGGGAAGCCTCTAGCACTAGCCTGAGGGAGCAGAAGCAGCAAGCACACCCTCCTCACGGGGACCAGGCTGAGGCTCATGTGATCCATGGGCAGACCATCTCCTGACCCATCCCATAGTCCTAAGACAGCTGCCGCTGTTCCCCCCACTATGGAGGGGGAAACGAGGATCAGAGAAGGCACTAGCCAAAAAGGAGCACAAGTTCCAAGTCACCCCACCCCACCTTCTCAGCTCTGTTCCTCCTGTGAGCTGGTGCCCTGACAGCCCTTCTTGCAAGTTTGATGAAGAAACACTGGCTGTCTTCGTGTTCCTTGGTGGCCCCTGGCATGGGGAACCCCGTGTAGGCTGAGCCCTCGCGTCTCACCTGACAAGGTCAGGAGCAGCCTCCGCCCTGCTCTGTCCATGATGGTGGCTGCTATGCCTGTGAACAGCACCTGGATGGTGCCCACGATGACAGAGGCCAGGCTGCTGTCCTGGGGGCACAGGGGCAGGGCTGCTCAGGGGCCACCCAGAGGGGACTAGCGTTCTCCACTTCTGTGCTGGGTGAGGAGCCCCTAAGCTCCAGGAAGGGGCCCCACCCCTGGATGAGGCAGGTTGGGCGAGGCCTCTTACCTTGAACTTGGCCTCCTCAAAAATGGTTTCTGCATAGAACATGACAGCGTTGATCCCAGACAGCTGCTGGAAGGCCATCAGTGAAACGCCGATGATGAAGGGCTTGTAGATGCCTGGCTGCCTCAGCAAGGCCAGCTGGAAGCCCTGCTCCCAGGGAGACAGCCGTCAGGGTCTCTCAGCCTCCCCAGGGTCCCTTTCTGAGCTTGTCCTAAAGCTCAGCGTAGGGACCTTGGTTTCCTGTCCCTGCCCACTAGGGCCTCAGGTATGCAGACAAACCCCGGGTATAAGGTGAGACTCCTTGTCCTCCCCTCTTCCTCTCCAAAGGTTCCAGCACCCGGGCAAAGAACAGTCTGTTCTCTGAGTCCCAGCCCCCTTCAGCACACCTAGGGCTCACCCTGGACCAGGCCCCAGCCAAGTCCCTCCCAAGGGCCTCTGTTTCGCATCTCAGCACCGCCACAGACATGTGCTGGACCCCAAGGTACAGAATAAACCAAGGCTCCACAGAGCCAGGGAGTGCAGCTTCTGACTGACTGAGTTTGGACTGACTCCACAACTCCATGATCTTGTGCTTTTTTCTTTTCTTTCTGAGATACGGTCTTGCTATGTAGTTCAGGCTGGCCTTGAACTTACTATGTAGTCCAGGCTAGCCTCAAACTCGAGGTGATCCTCCTGCCTTAGCCTCTTAGGCGCTGGGGTTGTAAGTGCAGGACCACGCCGGCCACCACCCGCATCTCCCTGTCCTACCATTCCCTGGTTAAGTCCAAGTTCTCCACACTGCATGTGGATGGCCCTTGCCCAGGGTGGGCTGTCTCTTCCCAAGACAGTGGGAATCAAGGTCGGGCCTTCCGGTATCCTCTGAAGCTAGGGCTCAATTAGGTGGGACTCCAGCCAGCCCTTCCTATTGGGACAGTACAGCATAGGTCTCCGCAGCCTGGCCCTCCTTGTAGCATGTGGCTTTGAGAGCAGGCCATGCCACCTGCCCCTGCCCCATCCCTCCCTGGCCCCCGGGCCCTCACCTGGTGCTCAGCCTGGATGGGGGGCTCTTCCCAGCCCTCATCTGAGCCCCACAGGAAGCGCACGGCAGCCCGGGCCTCCTGGGGCTTGTGCTGAGTCAGGAGGAAGTGCGGCGTCTCCGGCATGCAGCACATGAGCAGCAGCATGGAGGTCGGGGGCCCGCAGCCCAGCACGGCCAGCCAGCGCCACTCCAGGACCCAGCCTGCGGGCAGAGCCGGAGCTGGGAGAGCGGCCTGCCGCCGTCGCCCCCCAGGGCCTCAGCTGCGGCGGTGGGGCCCTCACTGTCTCCGCAGGTCGTCCCTCCGACTGTCGTTACCATTACTGCTCAGCACACAGACATCGTGGGCCAGCAGCTACAGCCACCGTGGCAACGGTGGTGGGCCATCACTATGTAATCAGTGACACAGTCCTGATCCACACTGTGGTGCTTTGGTCCACGACTGACTGCACAGACAACAGTGGTTTCCTAAGATCATAACGGAGCAGATGAAAAATTCCTACTGCGCTTGATGTGTCATAGCTACAGTAACACCGAGCCAAAATGCACTATATGTCTGTGGTGGCGTGGCGTGGACAAACTGGCAGCCCTGCTGGCCAGTTGTGTAACAGCCTAACACATACAATCATGTCTGATACGTAAGCCTCAATCATGATGAGAAATGATTACTATCGATTTACTGTAGAGTCTTGCTACTGAGTTTGGACTCATAATGACCCTCCTCTCAGTCTCCCCAGCACTGGGATTGCAGGTGTGCACCACCACGTCTGGTTCCCGCGGTACTGGGGATCGAACCCAGGTCCTTGTGCTTGCCAGGCAGGCTCTTAGGCTGCCGAACTAGCTCCCCAGCCCTGGCTACCCTCTTTTTAGCAATCATATTTTAGAGTGTGTAGTACTTATAAAAACATTGACTACTATACCTATAATCCCAACTACTTGGGAGGCTGAGGCAAGAGAATTTCAAGTTCAATGCCAGTCTGGGCAACTTATGAGACAATTTTAAAAGGGCCAGCAATACGTTTAGAGGTAGAGTGTTTTTATAGCATAGGGTTCAGTCCTAGTACTGCTAAATAAGTAAACAGTGTTTCCCTGTTACGCAGCACGTGACTTTAAGAAGCCTTGAGACAAAGGATGAGGAGTTGGTCTATGTTACCACAGTACTGACACAGAGCGACACAGCAGAGCTGTGAGAAGGGGAGGGCTGGGTGGGAGAGTAGATGTGCATATTTCTCACGCATGTGCAGCCCCTCTGGAGCCCACCCAGACCAGGACAGAGGCGGGGCATGTTTCCTAGGACACACTCTTCCCTCTGTGCCTGTTTCAATGTGTTATTGAAGAATAAAGGCTATGAAAGAGCTGGCAGATTCTAGTATCTTTAAATTTTTAAAATTTTTTAAAAAATTTTTATTTATGTGTGTGTGTATGTGTGTGTGTGTGTGTGGCCAGCTCAGCCCACCAGGGGGCAGGGCTGGCTGGCATGGGGTGCTGGGCGATTGAACCGCAGTCCCTGTGCTTTGCTAAGCTTGTTCTAAGTAGGTGCTTTAGACCACTGAGCCATCTCACCAGCCCTGGGTTCTAGTATCTTGATGATACAAGAAGAGAAACAAAAAGATGAGATACAGAATGATCTGTAATTTCAGGAAAGATTGAAAGAAAAGCCAGAGAGCTTCATGTCACCTCCTCTGAAAAGAAGGGGGCACAGCCCATCTGCCTGAGCCACACCGCCTGAGCCATTCTTGACAGTTGTCATCTGGGGCCTGCACTAGGCCCTTTTCCTATGTCACTCAGTCCACAACCCCACAGCCTTGCACTAGGCATGGTTCTCTTCAGTTGAAGACAAGGAAACTGAAACTCCCAGGTGCAGAGAGACTTGGCCAAGGTCACACAGCAGGTGGCAAAGGCCATCTCCAGGCTCAGGACTGCTGGGTGTGAAGCCCTCTTTTCACCTGTTCCTAGTAAGATCTTGGCAATTCCTGAAGTTTCCCCAGGCACCTCAGTTCTACCCCTGGGGCCCCAGGAACCGAGGCCTTTCACCTGGGACTTTGCTCTCCAGGGATCCATGGATGCTATCCTGTGGGAGACTCACTGGGCCCCTCCAGCTCCAGGGCTAAAGACTGCTGCGGTGTCCCTCACACCTCAGGAATCTGCTGTCTGCACAGTTAGGGACTGACCCAACCACTCAGCCCTCTCCACACCACCAAGTGGGCTTCTGGGAAGCCACGGACTCCTCCTCCAGCTCTTCCTGGTATGCAGTCACATGACCTACACATCCCAAGGTCTTAGGGTGTGCTCTGGTGCTTGGTACTTGGCCATCGCTGTGTGATCTCAGACAAGCCTGATACCTGTGAACCTCGGGTTCCACACCTATGAAATGGCCACATAACCATTAACAGGGACCAAACGAGACCATGCAAACCCTACCTGCCAGGTAGGCCAAGAGGATACCTATGACGACCATCAGCTGCACACAGGACCCGAGCAGTCCCCGGACTGCTGGATAGGCAATTTCAGAGATATAGACCTGCCGGCAATTAAGATAGGACTTTAGTGGGGTCCAAGTGTTCTTAAAACTGAAAGGCCTCAGCCTTTCTGAGCTGAGGAGTCTGCCCAGGGGTCCCCACTAACTGCCCCGCCTCATCAGCAGAGCCCTCCCAGGCTCCAAGACCAGGTGACCTGCGGTGGGTGATTAAAGGGACTAAGGGCAATGGGTGGGCACTGTGTGTGAGTGGAGGCACAGAGCTCCCAACACTCAACATGCAAGGATACCTGTGAGAAGTGTATACCCTGAGGAAGTGGTCTGGGGTGCTGCTCACACTTTGCCTTGATAACCAATTCCGGTAGCCATGCAGGCTGCTGTATGGTGAGATGCCCCTGTTGTGAAATGCAGGGACTCCCCACCTCAGCCAATGGGGGGGGCCACTAAGCCACCACACACAGGTCCAGGTTATTCCACACCTTATGCCCATAACTAAGACACGGATCTCCTTGGGAAGAAAAAACAAAAACAAACCAAAAATGCCAAAGGCAAAATTCACAGCCTTTTCCTCCTAGCAGATGTGGGTGAAATAAGAGATGGGCTGCCCCGGCAAGGACCCCAAAAGCTTCTTTTGACCTCCATCTGGGTGACAGTTGGGTGGGCAGTGGTCTATGCCTGTGGCCAGCAGCAGTTTGCTGATCACCAAACAATCCCAGATGCCAGGGTCCACGACCTTTCCCAGACCCTGCAAGGGCCAGAGGCCGTGTGTGCAATCCCTCAAAACCTCGCAGCCAGCCTTGTAACCAGCTGGGAGCAAGGCCACAGTCCCTAACAGCAGAATAAGCCAAGGGAGGTGGCTGTGAGGAGTGAAGGGGAACCCAAAGCCCCACCCCAGGGCCAAACCAGAATAGGATTTTCCTAACTATCCGGTGGTTGGTGACCTGGTAGGGTAGATTTAAACCTGAACACACCCTATGTAGAGCCAAAGTGGCATAGGGGGGCATTCGGGCTCACTAACTGTGGCCTCCGTCCGGGCAAACGTCTTTAACTTTCTGAGTTCAGTTTCTTCTGTAGAGCGGAGGTAACAACAGTGGCTCCTCCCGGGCGTGCTGACGGTAGGTACCCACAGATCCCAGCCCGTGAGACACTCACCGGGGCCACAAGCGAGGCGATGCCGCAGGCCACACCGGTGAGGAGGCGGCCCCCGAGCAGCATCCACACGTCCTGTGCCGCGGTGATGAGGGCAAAGCCGGTGACGAAGGGAGCGGTGCAGAGCAGGAGGCTGAGCTTGCGCCCAGCGCGGTCCACCAGCCAGCTGCCCAGCACACTCCCTGGGGCGGCGCCCAGGGTCACGAAGGCCTGGGTGGGGGCCACCGTGGGCTCAGGTACGGCTCGCGTCCGCCCCCCGCGTGGCCTCCGAGGGGTGGGGTTCCGGGTGGCGGGGAGTACGGGAAAAGGGCAGCAGGGCTCGGAGTCCCGGGACAGCGGCGGGAGACATGGCTCACCCCGAACCAGGAGGCGGCGTTGTCGTCGAGGTTCAGGGTAGGGGGCGCCGAGCGCCGCAGGCTCGGGATGGCTGGGGAGCTGTAGCCGAGCGCGAAGCCGAAGCTGAGGGGGCCCAGTGCCGCGGCGAAGGCGGCGAGGAAGAGACGGCCGCGGGGAGCGCTGTGGGGACAGGACTGAGCGTGAGCGGCGCCGCCGACGCGGAGCGGGAGGGCGAGGCGGGTCCCGTACAGCTCACCTGACGCCCGGCCTCAGGAGCAGCGGGGTCTCCTCAGGATCGTCTGGCGTCATGTCGGCGGCCAACGCTCAAGCCACCGGCCACGACGCCGGGAGTCGCCGCTGCTCCTGCCACCACCGCCTCCCGGGCCTCTTCGGGGGAGCCAGCCAATGAGCGGCGGGGGCGGTGCTCGGGCTTGATTGGAACCGCCTCCAGTGCACCAGCAGCCAATAGAAATGCAAAGAGGGAGTAGCGTAGCCGCTAGGACCCGCCCCATTCAAATTAGAGTAGACCAATGGAATCTCAGCGCCGGTTGGCGAGGCTCGCTTTGAACTGCCCGTAGGGCAGAAACGTCCAGGGCCTGGACTAGGCGGAGTTTGTGTCCCTCCCGACCGTCCAATTGGAGTGCGGTGCGAGTCTGCAGGCGGGGCCAGAACGGAAGTGCGCGGCCTAGGAGCGTGGAGGGCGGGGATTGCTTTTTCCCCAGAAGCCCTGCCTCTTACTCTAGCTCCAGCCAATGAGGCGGAAGCGGAACGAAGGCTGAGCATCTTCTGCCCGGGTCGCACCTGCAGTTTCTGCGCGGCTTATAAATGCTGTTTGCGGTCTGTGTCCTGAGCATCTGCCTGCCCCAGCTGTACCCGCCGAGAGCTGCAAGGCGGAAGGTCTCCAAGCCGACTGCCCTGGGCCACTTTCCCTCTTTTCTTCTGGGACGCGAGACGGGCCCGGAGCTTCCCCCGGAGAGCTCAGTGGAGGCGCAGCCCTGGCCCTGCCCGCTTCCCCCGCCTCTGTGCTCCCAGGCGGCGGATGGCGGCCACGCGCTGAGCGCTGGAGCATCTGGTGCTGAGGACCAGCATTAGGTGGGGTCCGTATCCCGCTGATTCCATATCTAACAAGGGACTGAGCATTATCTTCAGGAGAGTTTTGAACTTAAAAGAACAAACGCTGTGCGCTCACATGCTGACAGCAGCTTGACTCAGCAGTCACCTGACGGCACTAGAAGCCAGCATTTTTAATATTAACCACAAGACTACAGACTAGACAACTGTGCTTTCTTCTACACCCACTTGTGCTTGTCGTAAATTCTAACTGCAGCGCTTAACCATGGCTTTGTGATCATCTGGGCGCACCTTTGCCCTAGGCCTTCGGCCTTGCCCTGGCAAACTGCACCTCAACCTCTCACTGTAGAAGCTGTATGGAACCTGGCAGGTGCCATCTTTTGAGCCGGGGAACCCTGCAATCCTTTTGTCCCCTGGCTAGAGGTCTCCCCATGAATGTGCGCATATTGGTGTCAGAACAGCCTCCCAGCCCCCTTTCATAAGAAAAGCACCATCGGTCTGATAAGTAGGGTAGGGACCATTTTCTCCTAAGATCTGCGATTCTTGGCCAATCGTAGTAGCTTTAATGGTGCCCATTGGGAAGGATGCTCTAAGTAGCCTTTATTTATTTTTTCTATTTCAGCAAGAAACTTAGAATAAAAAAAAAAAAAAAAGCAAAATCACACATGTAAGCCAGGTGTATGGCACATACCTGTAATCCAAGAACTCTGGGAGGCTGAGGCAGAAGGATTGTACATTCTAGCCCAGCTTGGGCAATATTACTTAAACTCAAAATTAAGGTGGGGCGGGGGGTGGGGGAAGCAGCCTGTGTGTGGATGCAGCTGAGTGCAGAGGCCCTAGGTTCAGCCCCTAGTACTGGAAAAAAGGAGGAATAATCTGAATCCACAGAACTTGGTGGGATGGAGCTGTAGCATGTAGATGACTTTGTGCCCATGAGTGCAGAAGGCGTAACAAGTCCCCAAGAATGAAATGACAAATGCTGCAAAGAATGAGAAGTTTTGTTTAGTCCATCAGCAGCCCACCTGGTGCATCTAAGAGCGCTGTCCTTCCTGCACTAGTCTTATGCCAAGAAGGACCTGGGTGCCTGCAGCTGGCAGTGGCCAACTGAGCTGTCTGCCTTGCTGCGGTGTGCAAGGCCTGCGAAGAGGGAGGGCCCAAGCACATGCAGAACCTGCTGGGCCTCCACAACTCTCCTGAGCTGCAGTCACAGGGGACAAACTGGTGATAAAAGGTGAGCAGAGATACAAGAAGGAGGAAACTGCCTGAAGCCAAAGGTAAACTACTTTCTTTTCCCCCTACAAATTAGAAGTTTTCCAAATAATGTTAGTGAAACTGGATTCTCCCCTTTGATGTCTCCTGGCTGGAGGCTGGGATTTTACTGTTTTGTCCCCTGGCCACATTTATTCCTCTTTGCTTTGAGGAGGGAGCCAGGCAGGAGCTAGGGAGGGCAGGTTCCTGGGGAGGGGAAGGGTTTCTGTGAGAGGGACAGGCAGACCCACACTAGAGCAGGGCTCTGGTAACAGGGGTAACTGTTCCCTGGTTATGTGATCTCAGAGAAACAGTAAAGCCAGACAAAATAATCTTTCGACTTTGTCAAATGCCTCCACCTTAGTATTTCTTTCAAGATACACAAGGAGGCTAGATGTGGAGGCACACACCTTTGAGGGGCTGAGACAGGAGGACTGCCTTGAGTTTGAGGTCAGCATGGGCTATATAGAAATATGAGACAAAAGCCTAAAGTCCCAAGAGAGCAGGGAGCAACAAATAGAGCCCGAGGAGAACTACTGTCTCACTTGTAAATCCCGGAAAGCTGGGATTCAAGGCTGCAGATAGCAGCTTCTCCTGCTGGGCCTGTTCTCTGATCCCTTGCTTGGGATGTTATCAGCTAGCATTTGGGTAAACCTAGTGTTAGGCAAATGGTGGACGTCCATAGAGAAAGGAGTCTGTGTTCACCCAAGTAATGACGCACATTCCATAGCCTGCCTGTAACCCTCAGTAAATGTGAGATGCTTCTGAGGCTCTCGGCTCACTTCGAGAAAGACTAATCTCAGTGAGACCTCTGAAGCTATATTCATTGGGTCTTCTCGTCGTTTCTTTCGGCACCGACTCATAACATACAATGGGGCTATAAGGAGACTGTCATAAAACAGAACAAAGCCACCCAGTGAGTCAGTGGGGAGCTTCTGCAATCTACCTCAGAATGTGGTATGCCCAAGTCTGCAGCAGGTACAGCTGGTTCCAGTCACAGTGAACTCAAGTGGGCAATAGTGCAGAAAGAAAACTGATTTATCATTAAAAAACAATGGCTTTTCTTTATAAAAGAAACACACTGTGTAACATAAAACTATAATGAAAATAATTTCCAAGTATATAAAATGTAAGAGAAAGTTACAGTAAGTAAGAATGAACATTTTTGATTTATTCAAAGTTTCAGTCTAAAACCTCAATGAAATCTAACACCTTTATTACAAGGGGATTGAGGGTTTCTGGATGGAAAGAAACAAAGGTCAAGGAGGACGGCACCGGACACTGGAGAGAGACCCAAACTGGCCGAGGGTGCGGAAGGTTTGGTCCAATCGATTTCTGACAGGCAGGAAGCCGAATGTTGTTGAGAAATGACGGTAGAACTATTTACAGGGTATAAACCTCCATATGAAAACTAAAGGTGGCAAATGAGACTTGGGCTCTATTTACTTCAAGTCAATAACGTCTTCGTCAGAGGAAGCTATGAGCTGAAACAGGCTGCTGCCCGAGGCCGACACTGGGCTGCCCTCTCTGTCGGCCACAGGGTCCTGCTCGGAGCTCAGCGAGTGCTGACAGCCCTCGGGCTTGGCTTCGGAGGCAGAAGGACTTTCCAAGGAGCCAGATGGGATCCTGGGAGAGAAAAGTCACAGTCAGGGGTCCCATGAGAACATGGGACTGGGCTCTACTGAGGGCTGCTGCTCAGCGGCTCACAGTTGTCCCCTGGCCTCTACCTGTGGTGTGGACAGCAGGTGCAGGGGTTCCCACACTCATTCTTTGGCTGCAGTTAGACAGCCAGAGCTCATGGGCTTCTGGGAGGGCTTAGGCCTGGTGAGGCACACAGAAGGGGTTCCGGAGGCATTATTTAGCCTTCTGAAGTGTAAATCTACCTAGGCCCAAGGCTAATGCTAATGCTAAGCTCCTGCCACAGCTAAGGCTCAGGCCTGGCCCTGCTGACCCCTCCAGCCTCCCAGGTTACCCCTTTCCCTCACTTTCTCCAGCTCCTCAGAACTCTCTTACTAGCTGCTTAGTTAATTGGACCAAAATTGGTCTCACTTCTCGGGTGTTCATGATTTGAGGAAGCCCACTAGGGCCTGCGCTGGCAACCTGACCACACGCTGTCCCTGTGCTCAGTGGTCCGCTTGTCCTCTCTCGCTTCTCTGGCCACACCGCATGAGGCCCTGTGGCCATTGGAACCATTTCCTTTTTTTGGGGGGGGGGTACCGTACCAGGGATTGAACTCAGGACCCTGCCCTTACCAGACAGGCGCTTATTCTACTGAGCTGTCTCTCTGGCCCCCCGGAGCCATTTCCTTAGCTGATCATTCGCTCTGCACCTTGGTCCCTGTCAAGGCAGACCTTTTACCTGCCACCTGGCACTTCTGAAATTTTTTTCTAGTCCTTGTCACTATTTGAAGTAACTTGCTCATCTGTTACAAGTTTACTGTCTGCTTTCCCACACTAGAATATAAAGCTGAGGGATGGGGCTGTCACCCCGTACCTTTCTAGCCAGGCTCACTGAGAAGCTGCTTGGCCAGCCTGATGTTTTTGATCTGCCTCGCCCAGGTATGGGGTAAACGGCTCTCTCTGCTCTGCAGTATCACCTGCCCCCTAGGTGAGTGCCTGCTCAGCTCCAGGGGGCCTTGTGCACAGCCCTAAGTGCCCCTGAAGGCACCAGAGGGACCCGGTCATCTCGGGACCCAACACTCAGCCCAGCACTGGATCCTTTGTGATTGTGTGATGAGCCAACGAAGCTTGCATGTGTGCTTGGGATCCTCCCCAGGGGCGCACCGACGCAGCAGAAACCTGGGTGAATTGGTGGTTTTTGTGGTGCTGACCTCCCCTTGGAAGCCTTGCCCTGCTTTGGGCACTGTCCAGTTCCCTGCACTTCTCCTGAGCAGCCTCGTTTTCACACCCATCTGGAGAGCTAAAAAAGGCTCCAAATACTGTTATTGTATTCTTTTATTTTTGTGGTTCTGTCCATGGAACGCAGGGCCCTGCATATGCCTGCTTCACGTACTGCTGCGAGGGCGTGTCTGGCTGCTAGCAGCCCTGCTGTGTGCCTGGCAGCTGTGCCCTCTGGGAATCGGAGAGCAGCTGGGTGTGGAATGTGAGCTGTGGCTGCGCTGTGCTGTGACCCACGGGGCCACATCCCAGATGGGGGCTCCTCTCCTTACCTATCACTGCTAGTGGATCTCATTGTCCCTGGCTTGGAGCCTCCTGGGGTTTCTTCTAACCGCCTCCGGGCTTTTGATTTGACTTTTGGCGTTCCTTCTGACCTGGGTCCACTTTCATCCGAGAGGCCTGGATGACGGGAGAATCATAGGTTTCAGCGTTGTAACTCTGGGGCTGCCACACCACAGAAAGACCTTTTTGTTCTTGGTTAAGTAACTGCTGTCTTATTGGGTCAGAATCGGGAAGAAAACTGATAGAAAATACTCCTTCCTGGGAGGTTGGGGCAGGAGGACCATGAGTTAGTTAGGGTTGCAGCTGGGCAACACTGTGAGCCCCCATCTCAAAAAATAGGAAACAAAACTTCAAATAACTGGTTTCCTGTTAGTGGAAGAGTTTTCCCCTTTGTAACTGTAAAGTATAAACGCGTTGCAAAAACCAGAACAGCCCAGAGACTCAGAAGAGCCTGCTGGAGGAGATCAAGCTTGAAGCATCCTGCAGCCGGTGCCTCCCTTCTCTAACCCAGACTTGGTTTCTGCGAAGCACAGTGATCAGCAGTCAGGCTCTCAGGGAACAACAGTTAAATATAGCAACAGACAGATGTTACGATCACAGTGAAACCAACCGAGTTTGTGGTGTCAGAGCGCCCCTCCCCCGCCAAGTGTCCCAAGTGCCCTCCATCTTCAGTAAACGATACTGTGGAGCAGGATGTGCTGAAGCCAGCTGTCCTGGTAGCTTATGCCATGTAGACCCCAGTTGAAGCTTTCAAACCACATCTTGCTGGGTTGAACCAGCGGTGGCGGTACCTGCATGAGTGACCTCTGCCGCCTGTGGGGGAGTCACGTAGGTACCACAGGTGGCGTAAGCTGGTAGGAACATAGTGCGTTCAAACTGAAGGTGCCCAGCAGTGAGACCTAAAGATTATGGGTCCACTGGGAATGGGTTAATGTCACTTCCATTCCTTATTTTGCCTTTAAAAAATATTTATTTACTTGGTACAGGGTCTTACTACGCAGCTCAGACTCTAATGAGCCTCCTGTCTCAACCTCCCCAGCGCTGGGATTTGTACAGGTGTGCACCACCATGCCTGGTTCTGGTGGTCAGCACAGCGGCACAGCATGCGGTACCAGAGATCGAACCCGGGTCCTTGTTCTTGCCAGGCAGCTGCTTAGACCACCAAGCTATCTCCCCAGCCTGTTTCTTTTGAGACAGGGTCTCACTATGTAGCCCAGGCTGGCCTCAAACTCAGGGTGATCCTCCTGTGGCAGCCTCTCCAGTGCTGGGAGTACAGGTATGTGCTTGTTATGCTTTGTGTCTCGATGGCCCCAAAGGCCTCATGCAGGCATAGGTGAGGCTTTTTCAGGGCGGCTGGATCTAGAGTGTGTGATGCTGGGATTAAGGGTGGGGGACTAAACCAGTCTGACTGGGTGGCACCTGCCCCAGCCCCTACAGCCTAGATGGAATATAGAAGCGCAGAAAGAAGCTGCTCAGGTAGGTCCCTTTCTCGCTCTTGGCTGTCTGCCGGGGACCATTTCTCCTCTGTGATGCCACCTGCCAGGCCACCCTGCCTTGGAGCCAGCCGACTATGAACTCGAGCCTCTAAAAACTCTGAGCCAAATAAAGCTTTTCTCCTTAACTTTGTGTGTAGGGTATTCTGTCTCAGCACTGAGAAAAGGAACTCAGACAGTGTCACCATGCCAGGCCATTCTTTCTGTTTCCACAAATCTGAACACAAGGCCATGTATCAGTCCAGCCCTCTGCCGGTGATCACGAGGTGTCCTGCTTCTCGGGCTGGCCTCCAGTCTACAGACTGAGAGGCGGCCACAGCCAATACCTGGGACCTGCACGGCCCTACAAACCCGCCCCGCACCAAGGAACCTTGAGAAGTGCTAAGTGCGTTCCCACTTTTTCAGTGAGGAGAATGAAATATTGGAGAGCTACAGGCTGTAAACACCTTGCTGATACTTTTCTAGGGTATCATACTTTAATTTTTAAGAATTATATCACAGTAAGTAGTATTTGATAAAAGTCTGTTTTCCAGGGCCGGGGAATTAGTTCAGTAGAATAAGTTCTTGCCTGGCAAGTGCAGGGTCCTGAGTTCAATGCCCAGTACCGCAAAAAAAAAAAAAAAAAAAAAAAAAAAAGTTTTCCCTTTTTATATGGATTAGGCAGTTTTCTATACTGATAAATATACATCAACGTTATTCTTGGTGAAACAATGAAGTAATATTCCTGGTATAGACATATTATGGTTTATTGACATAAGTCATTTCTTAAAGAGATAGTTTCTTTCCTTTTTTTTTTTTCTTGTGAGGAACTGGGGATTGAACTCAGGCCCTTGTGCTTGCCAGGCAAGCACTTATTCTACTGAGCCATCTTCCCGGCTCTGCCAGTTTCTTTTTTAACTTGTTTTTATTGTGTTTTTTTTTTTTTTTCCCAGTGTAGCCAGGTCGGCATGGAATTCCGTGTGTGTCTCTAGTTGGCCTTGAACTTGAGCTCCTCCTGCCTTACCTTTCAGAGTATACCATCATGCTCTGTCACACTCATGGATTTTGAGGGCTGTTAATATCCCAGACAGGGCCGGCTGGTCTGTTTACAAACAGTGAATACTCAAACATTGAAAGCCATTACCTAGCAGTTCCCTGCGGGTCCTGCTTGCTATTTCCTTAATCTCCATGCGAGACAGGGACAAGGAATGAGTGACAGGAATGGCAGCGATGCCCAGGCCGATGGCAGTGGGTGGGGTGATGACCTTGGAGGCTAAGGGTGATTTCAGAGGTCGCTCGATGCTTCTGCCGACCAGGTTTCTAAGTGGAATCTTGTACAGATTTTTTGACTGAATTTCACCTGAAATATGATTCAGAAATGAACATGAGAACTTTGGGTTCATGTTATTTACAATAAAATAATTTCTTGGTCCTCAATATAGTTAGTGTGAAGGCAGGCTTTATGTCAGATCCGGAATTCCCCTGTCATAAAATGATGGTGCCTGATGGCTTTGTGTTTGTTTGGGGCATCGTTTTCATGTGCACTCACTGCTGCTTGTGTTTTCAGAGGAACATAGGCCAGACTAGAGAAGCAGCAAGCTGCCCCGTGGGAGGGCCTTGGGCTTAGCTGAACAGCGAGCGAGAAGGATGACCGATGTGGTGGGAAGTTACAGGGAAAGCGCTGTGTTCACAGCCATGCAGGGACCGCAGCAGCGGCCTCCGGGGTTTATGGGCAAAGCTGGGCCCATAGACAGACTGTGAGCTGAGTGATGCTGTGGCCTCGTGACGGCTTCTAGCTGTGAAAGCCACCGTTGCAGACATCCCGAAGGAGACAGCGGATGCTGCAAGCTGGACACTGTGGAGCTCTTAATCCCCCTCTCCTCATGGAAATGCTTTTTTTTTCATAATGGGAATTTTTAAAATAATAAGTTTCTTAAGGATGCAGCCACTGCATTCCAACTGCAAAGTTTGCTTCCTTTTGCCATGCTGAGGGTGGAACTCAGGGCGTCACTCATGCTAGGCAAATACTCTACTGCTGAGCCACATGCCCAGCCCTGCAAGTTTTATTTTGTTTAAATGGCTCTGAATAGTAACTTCTTCAGGCGGTAGCTGCAGGTAGCTATTTGACAAGGGCCTAGAGAAATTGGCATGGATTAAAACATCTGTTCATAAGATAGTAAAGTGAGAGCTCACCTTCCCCCAGGGAAGAAGGAAACACAGGCGTCTCTCGGCCTGGGGGCGTCTGTGGAGAGCTGTGGGCACTGGGTCCCTGGGAGCTGCCTCCGGAAGAGCCCTCGTGCACAGCCGCAGCGGCTGTGAAGTAGATGTCCGACTGGAAGGGAAGAGGGGGCACACTCAGTGCCGGGCTGCTGCGCCTTGGACCCCCCTGCTACCTCCGCCTCACCTCCACCCAGTGCCCAGGCTCTGCCGCCAGCTCCTGACATCCTTGGGGCATAGGTGCAGTGCTGGGTGCCCACCCAGAGGAAAGCCTGCTGTGCCCTGGACCCCTCTGGAGGGCTCAGTTCTCTGCCATTTTTCTTTATCCATGTGCTGACTGGAGTAGGAAGAAGTTAGTGTCTCAGACTTCTGTAAACATAGCCCATCTTGCTCAGATTGTCTCAGGCCTCCCCCGGGACTGGATCTGGAGGGGCCTTGGGCTCAGTTGGGTCTGTTCTGCAGGGGCAGTGGGTCTCACTCATTCCCTGATCTAGTCAGTCATGCTGGCTTTGAGAGGTGCTGGCTGTGACTCCTGAGAGCTGCCTTTCAGGAATTTTGGAGGCCAGCTCGTAAACACAGCCACTATTAAAAGTTATGCAAACTTAAGGAGTTAAGAGCAAAGGTGCTCAGTAGCAATATCAAATGCAATCGCTCCTAATTACTGGACCACATTTACTGTTATCCATGCTCTTGTGACATCGTTAGTGACAGCATGGTACGAATACCGCCCAGCTCTTTCCAACCCCACAGTCGGGGGTGCCACACCTGAAGCTGGAAATCAGTCACAGTGGAACCATCTACACCACAGAAACCAGCAAGGGCTACACATCAGAGCTTATGATTGTCTAGACCTACAACCACAGAAACAATGTTAACAACGAACATTAAATTTGAAAGTCTGTTGAGCTGGGCATGGTGGCACCTGCCTGCAATCCCAGTACTCTAGGATGCTGACACAGGAGGATTGCAAGTTTGAGCTCAGCCTGAGCAACTCAGCGACTGTGAGGCTCTGTCTTAAGAATATGAGATAAAGACAGTCAAGATGCACACAGCTGGTGGGAAGAGACTGGGCTCACCTCCCAGGAACACATGCATGCACACGCGCACGCTGCATGCCACCATGCACACAGCTGGAACTCAAAAAGTTTTGGGTTAATGACTATGACTGGTTTCTGGATGAGAAATAGTTTAATTGTTGATGATGTCAATTTCTTGGTAATAAACTTATTGGAGGAATGAGTCAATAGAAGAACAAGTATTAACTGAAAAATCATGGTTGAATTGCAACTATAGGTTGCGATTAACAGGGAAGATTAATGAAAATATTTTGTGAGAACCAACTGGCTGTGGATTTCAGGATAAAGAGCACTGCACATTTTATTCTTCACAAATGGAAAGCTTTTTCATCATTGAGATTTACAATCAACTAACACATATACTTGTAGTCCACACACACACACCCCTCCTGGGGTACTGGGGGTTAAGCGCTGCAGCACCCACTGGTGGTGTCCTTGAGGGAGACAGCCTGGCGTTACTTCCACAACTGTCAGGGTGAGAGGGGGCAGCCCCTCCAGCAGCTGCCTTCTAAGTGTGGTCAACACCCCAGGGCACTGGCCCATCTGGCAGGACCTGGGGGGCCTTTGTGGCTGTGCCAGTGATGGGGGCACCTGGGGGTGTCACAGGTGGTCCTGCAGCCTGAGGTGTTGTTCAGCACCTATATTATTAGACAGGGGTTAAAGGATGAGCCGTCCTTCACAGGCACAACTCCAGCGGAGGCTATGGAGGGGCCTGGGAAGAAAGGGCTGTGCAAACTCCTTTTCTAGCCTTGGAGGGGCCGTCAAGGCCACAGAATCACCTGCCCAGTCTCAGGGGCGGGGTGTGTGGGTGGATTTCTCCTTCTGGTTGGGTGCTTCCCAATGGCCATCAGCACCCAATAGCTCCATTCACAAAGCCAAGGAGCCTTTTGAAGCCTGAGGAGGCCAAAGGCAAAAACCCGACCCACCAGCCTGTTCCCAGCATCTCCACCTAATCTGTGACACCCGCAGTGCATCCCCATTAGCCTGAGCTGATGAGCAGTGGCTCCTGGCCTCCCCCGAAGCCCCTCCTGCCGACATGTGGTGAGGGGCCTACTCACTCTGGAGGCTACCAGCTGCAGCTGCGGCACGATGGCTGTGTGGACCAGGTTCCCGTTTACCACCAGGCGGATCTCCATGGAGTCGGGAGTGAAGGCCAGCAAGTACGGGAAGGCGCACACTGCAATCAACCGGGCTGTGACTCTCTTATCTCCCCAGTCCTCCACATGGGCAGGCCCCACAGGCAGAGGTGGCCTTTGCTCCTAGACGGCTGCCCTTACCTGCCAGAGCTCTGCCTCCTAGGTGCTGTCGCCATTTCCCCTAGAAGCCCCATTACTGGCCTCCCAGCCCCTCTCCTGCCAGGGCCCCTCAGGATGTTCTCCCTGTCCCTCGTGCTTCCCCGGCACAGGCCATCATGCCTGGAAAACTTTCCCCGTCTCCTGCCTTCAAGGCCCACCCACGTGTCCCTAGCACTTAGTCACCTGTCTGTGCTCCTCTGTGTCCAGGTCTTAGTTCAGTGTTCTTCAGTGTCCCTTGGGTTCGATGGGTTTGTTCTTTGCCAAAGCTCAGCTTTTCTCTGTGTAATGGTCACTACGACATGCTGGGACCGAACCTCTGGCCTTCTGAATGCCCCCTGCAGCTGGCCCTCTCCTTTACGGTCCCTCCACTTTGCCCTCCCTCTACTCTCCTGTGACTCAGTCTGCCAGATCCATGCCCTGGCCTCTGTTCTCAGATGATCTCCAGTGATGTGGCTGAAGGCCTGGAAGTGACTTTCTACTCTGCTTTCGTCTGACTGCATCTCATCCGTCATCACAGCCTGCCCTGTCAGTCTTGTATCATGGAGTGGCCCATCTGTAGTACTATAGCATAGGCCTCTTAGCAGAGGTTAAAACAGACAACTGCACCATCTTGGCTTACATCTGACTCCCAAGAGGCAACGCCCACTTGTGGGTCTGGAGCCACAGAACAGAGCACCACGGATGCTGTCCTGGAATTTCAGGGGCAAAGTTTAAGTCTCTGTGGCTCCTGACTTTAAGGTTTCAAGATAATGCAAGGCTTTAAGGTTTCAAGATAATGCAAGGAAGGCCTGGAAACAGTGGGCCTCTCGCCCGAGTCAGCAAGCTGGGGCTGGAGAGCTCACCCTCTAGTTTTAAGCAAAGAAAGTGAGGCCCAGAAGGAACACTGGACAAGAGTCCCAAAAGGAAAACCAGAAAAGAAAGTACAGTACAGCCCTGAAGGAGAAAAGACGCCCTTGGGGAAGCTCACACCACGCGGTTTGGGGCAGCTGCTCTAACCGCGGGCGCTCACAGGATGGGCAGTTTAGAGCCATCGAGCAGGGGGACGGTCCCTCTGCTGGTTTTGCTTACCGATTGCATAAGGAGCCTGGTTCCAACAGAACTGGAAGTCTGATGCGGAGGGTTGAACCAAAAAAGAGCCACCATTGAACGGACAGACCTTTTTATAGATGCAACTGTCTGCAACACAAACAGCAATTCATTTTGTTAGTGTCAACTCCTAGGTCACTGTAGCTAGCCAACGGAAAGCAGGTGGCTTAGAGCAGCATCCTCTCCGAGTTCCGATCCACAGCCAGGGCGCCTGGAGGCTACCGCCTTGGGCGGGAGGTGGCAGAGCTGGGATAATGCCGCTGCTGCACACATAGGAGCTGCCGCGTGCAAAGAATCTTCTGTGTGCCAAGCACCGAGCTTAAGCACTGCTCCATTTAATGGCTACAACTTTACTCACTGGGTGCTGCTACCATGCTCACGTGAGCAGTGAGACGAGGTGAGCTGGCCTGTCTGGAGTCTCACAGGTCTACCAGGGGAGGCGGGAGATGAACCCAGGTCTGCCACGTGGCAGAGCCTGCCTGCTTCGCTCCTGTGCTTTCCTGTCTTTCCCGCTCCTGGAAGATCCAGGAGGGATACTTGCTGGCACGCTTGTTTGGGAGGCCCTGCAAGCTGGGCCTCACTTTGAGCCGCACAGGCCAAAGGTAGTGGGTCTGGAATACTCTCCCCCTGCCCCCATTTTACTATGAGAACTGCAAGCACTTGATCAAGCTTGGCAAATTAAATTACCTTGTTCCTGGCCAGTTCTAAACTCTGAGTGTAAAGTCAGTTGGGCTCAGATCCTCTTAGTCTGAATAGAAGAAAGCGCCCCTTTATGACAGAAGCCCATGTTTAGCCTACAATTTTATTTCAAAATTAACTAATTAATTTATAATCAGGATCTCAGCATGTTCAGTTTTTCCTTGAACTTACTATCTAGTCCAGACTGGCTTCAAACTTGTGATCTTCCTGCCTCACCCTCCTGAGTGCTGGGATTATAGGTATGTGTCATCACACTAGATTCTTAAATTATTAAAAAAAACCCTGGCTTTATGGGTAATTTATAAATCATAAATTCAACCATTTAAAGTAGCCAATTCAGTGGATTATAGAGTTTTACACCACTACCACATGGAATTTAAACCATCTCTCTGGTCCTCCTGGCTGCAGGTAACTACGTATCTACTTTCTGTCACCATAGATCTGCCTTTGCTGGCCAGATGATAAACGCAGCCTCACAGAGTGTGTGGCTTCATGAATCTGCTGGCGCTGAGCAGTGTTCTGAGGCTTGTTCAAGGGTAAGAGGATAATTCCTTCTTATGGTGACTAGTCATCCATTCAGTGGTGATCCCAGCACTCTGATAGGCTGAGGCAGGAGAATCGCAAGTTGGAGCCCAGTCAGGACAGCTCTGCAAGACTTAGTCTCAAAATAAAAATAAAAATAGCAGTGGATGTGGCTTAGGGCAAAGGCCCTGGACCAGTACCCATAGGAACAGACCACAATTTGGGCAAAAAGGTGCTGTAAACATCCCTGTGGAAGTCTGGGTCCACATGTGTCTCACTTTTTTTTTTAAGATAGGCTCTCACTATGTAGCCCAGCCTGGCCTTGAACT